CTCAACCTTTGCCTTCACCTCCTCTCTACTCACACAGACACCCCTCTGGCCCCTACAGAACTTTCCACTCCCTTTAAGATCAAGTGTCATCTCTATGAAACAATTCCTTATCCCTTCTGTAATTAATGCCCTTTTTCTCTCTCCAAATTATCTGATATTTACTTAACTAAATGCAAGTCCTACCTGTCTGTCCACTCCTACTCAGTCTTTCATTAAATTACCATCCACGTCCTGCCTCCTAATTCCAAAGCCTGTCTGTTCTGAGATCTTCTCTCCTTTTTCTCTCTACTTTCTCATCAGCTCCCAGTTTTCACCTCTATCCAGATGACTCTAAACTCTTAATATTCAGCCCTAGTCTCTCTCCTGATCTCCAGTCCCACATCACCAACTGGAGATCTGAAACTGATGTTCCATGGGCATCTTAAACTTAACACATCCAAAACAGAACTTATTATCTTTTCATCAAAGCTCATCCCTCCTCCAAATTTTCCTAATCTGACTGGTCACCAACACAATACTAGTCAGCCAGGTTCACAACCTCAAAGTCATCTTCAATGATTCCTTTTCCCTCACCACCCCCATATCCACTCAATTTCTAAGTCCTTTCAACTCTTTCTTTTTTAATTTTTCTTTCTTTTTTTCTTATTTTTTTTAAGGGCAATTGGGGTTAAGTGACTTGCCCAGGGTCACACAGCTAGTAAGTGTCAAGTATTCGGTCTGCAGCCAGATTTGAACTCAGATCCTCCTGACTTTAGGGCCAGTGCTCTATCCACTGTGCCACCTAGCTACCCCTCAAGTCTTTCTCCACAACATAACTCACACCTGTCACTTTCTTTCTACTCATATAATTAATCAGTCAGCAGTTATTTATTAAGCACTGACTACATGCCAGGCATTATCCTAAGTGCTGGGAATATAGAGTAAAAATAAAATAGTCCCTGCCCTCAAGGAGCTTCTATTCTAATGGGGCAGACAACATGTACATAAACAGGTATATTCAAGATGCTTATAGGATACAAGATAACCTTAGAGGTGAAGAAATAGCAAGTGGGGAAACTAGGAAAGAGCTCCTGCCTAATGTCACGTTTGAGCTGAGTCTTGAAGGAATTCAGGGAGTGTAAAGGGTGAGGAGAGAGAGCTTCCCAGGCAAATGGACTAGCCAGGATGAAAGCAGAGACAGGAGATGGAGTGCTGAATAGCAGCTACCACCGGACGTACCATTCTCAGCCTTCTGAAGTCATTCTTGTTCCCATAGCAACTGGTCTTTACTTGTTGGTGAGGATCAAACTCTGAAACAAATGTCCCTTTTTTGGTTCCTTCACTTAATAAAAAAAAATAATCTCTCTATCATCCCTTAGCCCCCATCACTCAGTCAAAAGAATTTTTTTTAACCTGAACAATATAGCTTGCAATAAAACGTGTGTAGTCTAGCAAAACAAATTTCCACACTGGCCATGTCTGAAAACAAAGGTCTTGTTCTATATTTTACACTCATCACTTCTCTGGCAGGAGGGAAATGGTATGTCTCATCTTCATTCTTTTAGATTCGCACTTTTATCATTGTGTGGATCAGAGCTCTAGTCTTTCAAAATTGCTTTTCTCAATAACATACTTATATAAAATGTTCTCCTGATTCTGCTCATTTCTCTCTGCATTAGTTCTTCCCTGTTTCCTCTGAAACTGGCCATTTTGTCATTTCTCACAGTGCAATTAATTCAATTTCATTTATGTACCACAATTTATTTAGCCATCTCTCAACAGGAGGACAGCTTTTCAGTTTCACGTTTTCATCTATCACAAAAAAAAAGCTGCTATAAATGTTTCTGTATTTTTAGGTCCTTTTCCTTTTTTGCTATCTTTTTGAAGTTTTTTATTCGTTGAGGAACAGGACTAACCACGGTACAGCTGGTTCAAAGGGTATACATAGTTTGTAACTCTCTGGACACAGTTCCAAAGTGCTTTCCAGAATGTTTGGACCAATTTACAACTCCACCAGCAATGCACTAGCCCGTCGCAACATTTGTCATTTTCCTCTTTTGATAGCCAAACGAATGGGTGGGAGGTGGAACCTCAAGTTGGTCTAATTACATTTCTCTAATTATCAGTTATTTAGCACATTTTTTCATATGGGTTTTGACAGGCCATAGCCTTCTAATCAATCAGATATTGGGCTTCTGGTCTCTCTCTCTCTAACTCATCTTCCACATAGCTGCCAAAACAGTCTTCCAAAAACACAAGTCTGATCATGTTACTCTTTTGCTTCAGAAAGAACCTTCAGTTTCCTCTAGGATAAAATGTAAATTCTTCAAGTTGGCACTGAAAGCTCTTCATAATCTTGCTCGGAACTATCTTTCAAGTACTATTTCCTATTACTTCCCTTCAGGCCCTCAACATTCTAGCCAACATTCTAGCAGGCCTAACTGCTATCCCCTAAAATGTTCCATTTCCTACCTCCATACCACTGCTGAGAACGTATCTGGACTATATTCCCTCTTCATCTCTGCCTCTCAGTATTCAGTTCATGGGTCACCTCCAATAGAAAACCGTTCTTGATGACCCCCTTCCTCAGTTGTCAGTACTTTCTCTGTGCTTAAATTATCATGCATATATTTATGTTTATATGTTGTATTGTCCCAGTAGGATTACATTCATGTGCAAACTACCTGGGACAAAAGTAAAATTTTACAGAATAAAACTTTATACAATACACTTTACAACTTTTTATATCTTAAAAAAACTTTCACTATGCAACACACCTTCTTTTTGCTGCAATCACTTGTTTTATGTGATTTAGCATTGAATTTACAAGATTCTGACATGAATTCTTTAATTTTTTCATTATGAAATCACACATGATATTGGCTATTGAGCATACCTTTTGGCAAACAGTTCATTTTTCCAAGTCTAGCCTAGAGTATGGCCCATAGGTTTTCCGTGGAGTTTAAACTGGATGAATTCCCAGGCAACCTGAAGCATGTTTTTCTTCATCTCTTAGAAAAATTTCTTTACCTACTGTGACATGTGGAATGGTGCAAGTTCAAGTGGTAGTACTCTACCTCCATTTGAGAATTTCTGTAATTCTGGAACAATTCTTTTCAGTATATCAATATATTTAGCAAGAGTGCATTATTCTCTCAATGGGGACTAGACTTCTAGGTCCTCTGGAGGTGAAAAAATTCCCTAAAACATTTTTAGAGTGGATGTTTTGCATTCTAATCTGATGAAGAGTTTTTTGGGGTTTTTTTGGAAACAGTTTTGGTATTAAATTTGAATTAAAAAGTGAGTTTCATCAGTAAAAATTACCTTTTCCCAATCTTCATTATTCCAGTTTTTGTACAGTTGCAAACATGAGAAGCATTTTTTTCTTCATAACAATGGTTGGGTTTTTTTTTTTAACTGGGATTTCATCATTTTTCAAACTTCAAGAAGCTTATACACATAGGAGAAGAATCAATAATAACCGCTCCAGCAGCCAGGTCTCTTTAAAGGTCTTTGCCTGTTTTCTGAGCATTAATTAGGTTATTTCACAGCAATAGTTTGTTAATTGTTGGCATCGTTTTTAATTTTGAACTGTTCTTTCTTTTGTGCTCGAGTGCTACTGATCTTGTTACATTGTGGTCTTGAATGACCCTTAAAATACTTGACTTCTCCACACCAAAAACTGGGGCAATATCTCTAACAGTCATTGAAGTGTCTTTTTCACGAGCTACAACTTTTGCAGGTATATCCATTCTTACCAGAGTCATGTCCATTCTTAAAAGCCGCAGAATAAGAGTCATGAAATGTGTCTATGGCATGAAATCAACAACTCAACTGACAGAAAAGCAACTAAAATTGGGGAAAACAATTTCACGTGATTTCATCTGGTCAAGGCCTGATGTTTGAACCCATTGTCAAGAGGAGCACTAGCAAGCTTGACTAGTGTTGTCCCAAAATAAAATTGTATCAAAATTATTGATAGGTAATTCACAAACCACAGTAAGCTCCCTGACGGGATAAACTGCTTTTCATTTTGTCTTTGTATCTCTAGCACCTAACAGAGTGTCTTGCACACAATGCATCCTTAATAAATACTTGATACATTGATTTGATGTTGTATAACCCAGTGAAAATTCTTGAGGACAGGGGCTGTTTCATTTTTTTTTTGTCTTTTGTATCCCAAGTGGCTAGCAAAATGCTTTACACCAGGAGGGTACTCAATAAATGTTTATTGAATGTTAAATGAATGAATGAATGAGTCTTTTCTTATACATCTTGGAATAAAAGGAAGCTGTGTCTAGATTAAAGATAAACCTAGAAATTCCTCTCCTATGAATTCTGGGTTAAAAGAGACCATTCATTTGCACCAAAAATAACTGGGTGAAATGGGTCAAATGTTGCAAAAAACAACAAAAAACCCCACCTAACTAATCATCCCGAAAGATCTATTTTCACACCTGAAATAGTGGCACAGACTACCAAGTTCAGACTTTATAACACTTGAGTCTACACTCTTTCCCTTCCCCGTGCCCCACACTAATAAAATCAATCTAAAATGGCTCCATACTCAAGAACTACAGCCTACTACAATAATTATTTTGATCTCTTCTGGTCTCAGACCAGGCAGGATAGATGATACAGATTAGGTAAAGAAGCCTACACAGGCCCACAGACCAAACCTTTCCTTCTGATGAGCCCCAATATAATCTCCACACCCAGCTTTCTATGAGGCACACTAATTTTAGAACACAGGTTACAGAGTCATTTCTTTTGTGTGGGTCCAAGTTTATATAAGCATAATGAAGCACAGAACTGTAGCAAAAGAATGCATAAAACAAGTAGGGGGAAAAAATCACTTGTGCCTCAGGTAATTGAACCTTTCAGGGAAAAGGTATTTGGTCAAAACTTGATTCTGTGCTCTTACCAGTTAGCATGTTCACAGGTTAAAACGACCTTCTTGACACCCCACTGAATGCCAGAGAGTCCCCAAAATCAAGATAATTAAGACCTAGTTACCATACCATCATTCCTGGGAGACACAGGAAGGTTAGGATTTTGCAAGCAGGATGATGTCAGACAATTTTCTTCTTTTTCTTGGGATGAACCTGGTATATTTTCTACTAAGTAGCTAGATTCCTGGCGTAATGACCTGTCGCCTTCACTGGCTCGATGAATATTCATTCTTGGCCTCTGTAACTTGAGTTTTCCACTTGACCAGGAAAAAATCCTAGAAGATGAGATTGAATGATTTAGAACTCATATGTTTCATAATTTCTCATGGTGCAAGAAGTTTGACCTCACGTAGCTACAAACTCATGTTTGCACGGAAGGAGCATCTCCCACTGACTTCACATTTCAGTGATAATTTATTACAGTAAAGTTATTGATGTCCACAGATTTCATACCACCCAGTAGTAAGTGATTAGGGATGTGTACTAACTTACACATGAGTAAAGGGGCAAAAGTGTGGTGGCTGTACAAACATGGCCAGTAAATCCACTTCCTGGAACCAAGGTGGCTCAGTGGACAGAGAACTGGACTCTGGAATCAGGAAGACCTCAGTTCAAATCCTGTCTCAGATACTTGCTGCGCGGCAAAATTAAGGCCTTGGCCCAGGCTCCTCATCTGTAAATGGAGATAATAAAAACACCCATAATAGCACTAACCCTCCCACGGAGGTCATGAGGATGAAATGAAATAGTATTTATAAAGTACTTCGTAAACCTTAAAGTATTATTGCTATTACTATTTTAACAAACAATTTTTACACAAATAATCCAAATGGTTGCATACTGACTCTATGATGTTTAAGCCAGTTGAAAGTAAGAGGACAACTACTTTTTTCAATATAGCATTTTTTTCCCCTGCAGACATAATTTCAGTTCAGCATCCCTGCTCTCAGAAAGTTGATTATATTGATGAAATGTAACTCATACACAAATAAGTAAATGCAAAGAATTTTCAGAAAAGAGAGAGTACTAAAAACTGAGAGGAATAAGGAAAACTTCACAAGAGAGATAGCCTCTGAGATGAACTATGAAAGAAGCTAAGGGTTCTGAGAAGTAGAGAAGAGGAGAAATGAATGAGTTTGTGTTTCATCCTAAAGGGAATAGGGAGCCATGAAATATTTTTGAGTAGGGTAAGTGCCTTAGGAAAATTATTTTGGCCATAGTGGGCAGGATGAATTGGAGATAAGAGTCTGGAAGAAGGAAACCCCATTAGTCTAGGCTAATGATGATGAGGGCTATGACTAGAAAGAAGGGGATAGATAAATGGCTTGTCACAAACCCAAATGACTGAGAAGGCAGTGGTGTCCTACAAAGAAATAGTGCAGTTTGATAAAGATGGAGCTTTGCGGGGGGAGGGCGGAAATATGAGCCCTATTTTGGATATGTTGAGTAAAATTAAGGAATGTTTTGAAAATGTGGGTATCATGCTTACATAGGGCTTAATGTGTCATGCTCCCAAAAGTACTTCCTTTCTCAACAAACCCTCAACAAACATTTACTGAGCATATACTAGGTGCAAAGCACTGTACTACAAATGGAGATTAAGGTCTCTGCTCTTAAGGTGTAGCATCCAAGTTCTTGTGACATTTCAGGCTAAGGACAGGAAAGGAAGGAAGCCATTTAAGACACAAAAAATATAGTACACAATGAAGGAAACTTTTTAACCTTAAAATGTATAAATGTACACATATTTAATGCTGGAAAATTCTACTCTCCGTGGAAGTTAGGAATTTATGTTAACAGGTTGAATGCGTTACCATGAAGGCTTGTTTCCCCCCTTTCTCCCCTCTCTGCTTCCTCTAATACATAGCACAATTTTCAAAAATAAGAACTCTGCTAGAAAGCACAAATGTCCTGTCCTAGTTTTCAATTCTGGACATCATTAGTCAGCAGGGAAATGTTGTTTGGGAAGAGTGGAGAGAGAAAGAGAAGGATCACAGGATCATATATTTAAAGCTGGAAGGGGCCTAAAAAATGATTTTATCCAACATTCTTAGTCTTAAAGGTGAGAAAATACTTCAGAATCTATCCACCAAGATGAACCCAGGGATTATATGAGCACAACCATAAAACACTTTTCACACAAATAAAGTCAGATCTAAACAACAGGAAAAATATCAATATCATCTTAAAGGCGAGGGAGCTGAGATTTAGAGAGATTAAGGATGCCTAATGTCTTATTGGTAGAACGTGCCATGGTAAGAATTTGAACTCAAATCACAGTACTCCAAGTTCAAATCCCCCAGTTCCTCAAAGTGCATGCCTCACAAGTATCTTTTAATGCATTTATTATTTTAAATGTAGTAGCTATATCTCACTAGCATTTATTAGGCCTTTTCTATTCTCCCAAAACAGGCTTAATTCTGGTCTGAAAATAGATTAGGACTATAAGAAACAGATGAAAAAATAAAGACATTTTTCCTAAACCATTTATGACTTGAATTACTAAAGTTTAGAAGTTAAAAATTCCTTGGGCTAAAAATGGAACAAGAACTGTACTTAAGAGCACTTGAAAACACTTACCAAAAGTAATTTTAAATATTCTCTTGAAAAAACAAATGTGTTCATATTATTAACTCTCTTAGTAAACCTTTTTCTTTCAAGTGCAGAGAGGATCAGCTAAGACATTTGTAAAACACTCAGCAGAGGACCTGGCACATAGCAGACACTTAATAAATACTTATTCCCTTCCCTCCTCCCCAAGCGGCTGGCATATTTTGTTGTTGTTCAGCTGTTTCACTTGTGTGAGCTTTTTTGGCAAAGACACTGGAGTGCTTTCCCTTTTCCTTCTCCAGCTCATCTGACAGAGGAGGAAACTGAGGCAAACAGGGTGAAGTGACTTGCCCAGGATCACACAGATAATAAGTAAGTGTCTGAGGCCAGATTTAAATTCAGGAAGATGAGTCTTCCTGACCTCAGGGCCAGCACTCCATCCACTGCACCATCTAGCTGCCTGTGCCTAACACATAACAGGTGCTTCATAAATGTTTGTCCATTGACAGACTCAGAGATTTCAGTGGCTTATAATGTAAACAATCACACACTTATGTAAAAAAAGAAGGGGCCAGGTGACACATTAAAAGAGCCAAATGCCCCACTCAAGTGGACTATTCAAAGCCTTCATCTCCCCAACAGAAGTAAGAAATGCTTCTGTCTGGTTCTGGGAAACATGAATTGTTCCCATTATGAGGCTAGGTTGCCCCTTCATCCAGGTGTTTAAACTTTCTCACACCCTGACAGCTTTCAATTCTGACTCCTACTGGGGCTGAAGAGTGAGAGCCCCACCTCAGAAATTCCCTCCACCCCCTGGACCTTCCTCAGGAACCTTGCAAGTTCCCATCAGTTCCTCCCTGTATCAGCTCCCAGGGACCCAAGGGACCTTGTGTCTATCTTGCCGTTTACAAACAGGTCAGAGCACAAGGCTAGTCTTGGCACTCCACCTGGGTTAGTCCCATGCTAGCCATGCCACATCCCTCCTGCTGCCTCCTTTCTTCTCCCATGGATTAGTTTTCCCTGAAATGCAAAAGAGTCATCCCTTGGGACCCGAATGACCCCTGCCTCTCTTGAGGCAGATTCCTTGGTAGTTCCTGGCTGCTCTGAAGTGACTTCTTGGTCAGCTAAAGGCATAAAATATCCCACCCACATGGACTCGGGGCCTCTCCAACTTCCTCTGAAGACCACTCCAAGTCACTATATTCTGCGATATGGCTGACCAGACATATTTCCAAATAGAGGGAATTAGGGCTGGGTCTATAAAATACTAAGTGCCATAGTATCTTTGTTGCTTATCCTACCTATGTTAGGCCAAAGTCAACCTCTTTTTGTTAAGTATTTAATGATCTAGGAATACTTCATTTTGTTCCAACATTGATCTGGACAAAGAGGGTAGCAGCATCAGACTCATCCCTATCATCTCTAAATTATCTAAATTCACAACTGCTGGAGTCCAAAATAATGGAGTGCTATATTAGATCAATGCTTAATATATGACTGTTAAATAATTACTAGAAACTTTTCATATGGTAGATTCATGACTTATGGAAGAAGGCCCTTAATACAAAGTGAAAATTACCAAGTTCTTGGTCAGTTACCAATGACCATCTAAGTATACTAGGCTACACTAATGTAGGAGTCTTGAAAGTACGTTCTGGAACTTAAATGATGAGATGTGGCTGAAATTACATTTTACTCTACCTCTAACATTTGAGTAAGAAACAAGTGAGGGTTTTTTTTTTTAGTGTAACAGCGAGGTAAATATCTATACCCATCAGACAACTGCATTATGTCTCATGTCAGCTTTGATCATAGAGCCGAAAAACCAAGGAAAGTGATTATTATTATTATTCCTAATAATATTAATAGCTAGCATTTATATAGTGCTTTAAGGTTTTGCAAAGCTCTTTAAAGAAACATTATTTCATTTTATCCTCACAACAACTATATTATTATCCTATTTTACAGATAAGAAAACTGAGGCAGAAAGAGCTTACACAACTTGCCCAGGGTCACACAGCTAGTAAGGCAAGATTGAAACCTGTATAAATTATGTCCTGATTATAAATGGCAAAACAGTAGGGGAAGGAGGGAGGCATCTCTGGGAGGAAATTTAAACAACTCTGAGGCTTCATCTAACATCCACCAAACTGACAAAAATGGTAGAAGATAGAAACAGTCAATATTGGAAGAGCTATGGGAAAGCAGGCACATTAATACACAATTAGTAGAACCATGAATTTGTTCCACCCATCCTAGAAAAGGATTTGGAATTATACCAGAAAAGTCTCTATACTATGTACCCAGTGACCTTTATGCCAGGCAAGGAGGTCAATAACAGAAAGAGAGGTCCCATATATGATGAAACAGTAGCGGAAATGGGGTACACTGGAAAGAACACTGGCTCTAAGGTTAGGGAACCTGAGTTCAAATCCTACCTCTGATACTTTGTATCTATATGACCTTGGACAAGTCACTTAACCTAGAGCCCAGTTTCCTCAACTGTAAAATGAAGATACTAGAATAGATGACCTTTGAAACCTCCTTCAGCCCTATATCTCTGATATTCTGTAGCATGAGAAAAGGAAGGAAGGAAGGAAGGAAGGAAGGAAGGAAGGAAGGAAGGAAGAAAAAGAAAGAAAAAAGAGAAAGAAGGAAACAGAAATGACATGTATGCTTATCGATTGGGCAATAGCAGAACCACTGCATATCAATGTACTGGAAAATTATTACACCATAAGAAAAAAATGACAAATGTGGAATCCAGAGAAACATGGGAAGACTTGTATAAAGCGATAACAGAATAAATAAAATGCAACCAAGAGAAAAATAAATGGACTTTTAAAAATGACTAAATAGCAATTGAACCTCGAGTAACTTCAATGACTAATCTTGATTCCCCAGAAAAGATGGTAAAACACACAGGATTTACTGGGATCTCCATTGACATGTCCTCCCTATTGAAATCTTCCTCAGACTGCTTTTTATATGATTGTCTCCCTCCCCACTCAATTCTGCACTCTTTATTGCAGGCCCATGGTACTAACAAATCCTCTGCAGCTTTGGCAACAAGCAGAAGGGTGAGGTACCACGTTTGAACTAAAATTAGATAGGGGTCAGAAT